CTACTTGGGACTCTGATATTACTGTTTTGTGTCCAGGTTTCCATGGGTTTTTAGGGGAGCATCCGAAAGATGAGAAGATGGGGGTTATCCGCAGTAGTTGCGAAAGTATTTGCCCCTTATGGATAGTTGTGTTGGTGTCATTGGCAATGGGAGCTGGAGATAGTGTTTTCCTTTAAAAACATGTGTGTATAGACCTTCCAAGTCCCCATGTACGGAGGGGAGATAATGGATGTAGGGAACATCTATCGATGGTGTCCTTCACTTTGTGTAATATTGTTAAGGCTACGAGTGTTTGTTTTTTAGCAAAATGCTTTATGAATTGTTCCTAGGATGAGTTTGGAGCTTTGGTTAGTTTCGATTATAGTTGTAATCCTATATACTCAGGTTTCGATATTTTTATACTTTGGTATTTTCTTCGACTTTCTATGAAGTACAAAGATTTAGTGAATTGGGTCTCACTAAACCCTATTAATATGGGCTCTATGGAGCATTACTTAAAATTTATATTTTATGAGTATTTTGAGTTGGAATTGTAGAGCTGCTGGTAGTTCGGATACAGTTCAACGTATTCGGGATATAAGACGTTAGTATTTTCCGGACTTTCTATTTCTCATGGAGACTAAGCAAAAGGTTGCTTATATGGATGTTTTAAAATAAAGTTTGGGGTATGATTGTTTACACACGGTGGAACCCATTGGCCATAGTGGTGGTTTAGTTTTAATGTGGAAAGATTGTTACGCAGTTGAATAATTTTTTATAGTGATAATAGAACTATTGATCTCAAAGTGACAATGGGGTCCCTGGTATTTTTTCTTTCATGTGTATATGGGGATCCAGTAAGAGGAAGAAGACGCTGTGTTTGGGATAAATTAACAGACATTGGTGTGGCTAGAGATGAGGCATGGATTTTGGTTAGTGATTTTAATGAGCTAATGAATAATGGTGAAAAATTGGGAGGTATTACTGGAGATGAAACCACCTTTTTGGATTTCCGGAACATGGCTAAAGCATGTAAAATTAGGGAGATGAGGACCACGGGAAATACCCTTTCTTGGGCAGGCATGTGGGATCATAACTGGGTACAATGTCGGCTAGATAGGACCTTTGGTAATGATGAATGGTTTCGTCTCTTTTCTCAATCCTCTACTGACTATATGAGTATGTGGCCTTCTGATCATCGACCTCTACGTATAGAGTTCGTCCTTAAGCCTGAGAATTTGCAAAGGGGGCGGTTTTATTTTGATAAACGTATGTATGGTAAGAGAGGGGTAGATGAAGCCATTGTTCGTGGATGGGACGTAGAGAACGTAAACTCAAATCTAAGTGTTCTTGATCATATTGCTCGATGTCGGTCGGAATTGTCCGAGCTTAAAAAAACTAATGACTGGAATTCAAAAACAAGAATATAATAGTTGCAGATTGATTTGGACAAAGAGAGCTCAAAACAATTCCTCATTTATGATATGATGAGGAGGTTAAAACAGGATTTGGCTACCGCCTATAGGGAAGAAGAGATTTTTTGGAGGCAAAAAAGTAGAGAAGAATGACTACAAAAAGGGGACATAAATACAACATATTTTCATAATATGGTTAAGGGGGAAAATGAGAAATAAAATTTTAATGCTAAAAGATATTTTTGGAAATGAACATTATTTTGAAGGGTCTAAAGGACATATTGCTACTAAATATTTCATAGAGTTGTTTACAAGCTTAAATCCAAGTGATTTGGAAACTTTGTTTGAGGGTTTTGAGAGCAGGGTTACCTCAGAGATTAACACAATGTTAACCAGAGAGGCCTCTCCTGACGAAATCAAGAATGCAGCCTTTGGTATTAAAAGTAGTAGTGCCCCTGGAGAAGATGGACTTACTGGTTTTTTCTACCAAAAATACTGGCACATTGTGGAGCAGAAAATTATTAATGATGTTCAAAGTTTTTTTTGAAACAGCCATCCTTCCTGCTTGGTGGAACCATACACAGTTAATTTTATTACCAAAATTTTTACATCCTACGGAGATGAAGGATATGCGTCCCATTAGTCTTTGCAGTGTACAATACCAAATCATTTCTCGTATTCTATGTGATCGTATGAAGGTGGTTTTGCTTAATATAATATCAGAGACTCAAGGAGCTTTTGTTGGAGGTAGTTTAATTACAGACAATGTCATTATAGCACATGAACTGGTACATGCGCTGCGAACTAATGATAAAATTGGTAAAGAATGTATGGCTATTAAGACAGATATGTTAAAAGCCTACGATCGAGTGGAATGAAACTTCCTTGAAGTTTTACTAGAAAAACGGGATTTGATAGTAAATGGGTCGTTTGGATAATGTCATGCATTATTATTGTTACTTTCTTGGTGTCACTTAATGGACGCTCTCATGGGTTTATTGAACTGGAAAGAGGAATACGCCAGGGAGATCCTATATCCCCTTTTCTTTTCATTTTATGTGCCGAAGCTTTAGTTCATGTCTTAAACAGAGGTGAAGCACAAGGGAAATTACATGGTATAAAGTTAGCTACGGGCAGCCCTTCTGTTCACTATTTTCTATTTGCTGATGATATCTTGTTGTTGTGTGAAGCCTCTGTCAGGGATATGAAGAAATTTTGAGAACTCTGAAACTTTATGGGGATGTGTCTGGGCAAATGATTAACCCTTTGAAGTCTTCCATCATTTTTGGGAAAAAATAGCCGATGGGACCAAACAGGCTATAAAAGGGGTTTTTGGTATAGAGAAGGAAGGTGGTGAAGGTTCATATCTTGGCCTTCCTGAATGTTTTCATGGTTCAAAAAAAAAATCTCTTTTATCAAAGAAAAATTAGAAGGAAGGTTACAGGGGTGGTACTCTAAAACTTTGTCAATGGGGGCCAAGGAAGTTTTAATAAAATCGGTGGTTTTGATTCTCCCAATATATGCAAAGTCAGTTTTTAGGTTACCAAAAGGTATTTGTGAACAAATTACGAGTGCGATTATAGAGTTTTGGTGGAGTAGTCGGGATAAAAAGAGAAAGATCCCATGGGTCTCTTGGGAAAAGTTGTGTAAACCCAAAGAACAGGGGGATCTTGGGTTTCATGACATTGGTCAGAATTTCCATCATTTTAAAATTTGTGCACCTGATCAAGATTGTTAAGAGCTTATCTACGGATATACATACAAGAAAAGTTTTTCCATGGTTGCTAGGGAAATTTGGAAAGCTAGGAATGCCTTTGTTTTTGAAACCAAGATTATTAAATCTTCGTTTATTGCTAAGAAAGCCTATGAAGAAGAATCCACATGGTTTGATACATTCACGGGAACAAAGGATGGAGTGGGTGATGTCGATGCGGAAATGGTTCGATGGAAAAAACCGTCCAATGGTTTCCTCAAATGTAATGTGTGATCCTTATGGGTAAATTCAAATCATCTTAGTGGTGTTTCATGGATTTTACGTGATGAAAATGGGTGTACAATCATGCATAGCCGTCGAGCCTATTCATGTATGCGCATAAAAACAAAGGTAGATTTGTGGGCTCTTTTCTGGACGGTTGAATGTTTGCATAATTTACATTTCTCAAATATTAATTTTGAGACTTCATCGGAGAGCACCATAGCCACAACCATATTCACCACAATATCGCTTTTCTTCTGGCAAGGTTAGATTCATGGAGTTTGGATCATGCTCTTCTTGAACGCAATGAAGCTGCAGTAGCAATTGCTTTAAGTGTCATTCGTGATCTGTGTCACCAGTCATACATCATCCGAAATGCTCCGGTGTGGTTACATCACTTACTCGCTTTAGAGGTTCAGCAATAAAAGAATTTGGTGAGGTCCATTCCACTTTTGTTTAGTGTATAATGACATCTCATCTTATCTTTTCTATTTTTCTTTTTATATTATCTTGAATTCTTCAATTCTAACAGTATTATTAAAAAAGTAATATTCCACTAGAGTCAATTTGATAACAACTACCATTTATCAAAAGTCAATAATTTACTTCTTAAACATTTCATAAACTTTTAGAAGGAAATACAAGTAAATTTTTTTTATGCGGACCATTTGACCAGCCTAATAACACGCTGGCAGCCACTACATATAAATCTGTTTTGGTCTCCGCAAATGTCCGAAGTCGAGTTTTTCATTGATAAAAAAAAAAGTCTATTGACCGCATTCATTTGAACTGGGCAAAAATGTACGATTCAAGTTGAATCATAGACTTCTATAGATGTGGCTTTGACCAAGAACAAAAAACAAATTGACCATACGTTAAGGGTCATACGATAGATATAGAAAAGAATCCAAACGGTATACGAAATGTGCAGAGATAAACACAAGAAAGAACTATCAAACCCCAATTATACATTACATCACATCACATTAATATATGATACATACACTATAACTTGACAAAACCTATACAATCAAAATCCCCCAAAGACACTCTAATTTAGCCTTTTCCTAGAAGAATATGGCTCTTTAGTTTTCGAATCAAGCCCAACACACAACTTAAACAACAAATAACCAACGAATGAGCCAGAAACAACCTAAAGAATATGTCTCGAGGCAATTTAGCTCTTGCTGCCCAACTGAACCGAACGTGTTGAAGAATCATATCTTGAGTTTCCCCAATAGTTATAGTGTCTATGGGGTCTCTCACAAATCTTCTGCTTACGCCTGCTCACATACATTAGGACATCAATGTTAGAATTACAGCTCTTGATTCGGATATATTCTCGTGAAAACGAAACCAAGAGTTTCACCAATGTGGACATTCTACAAAGTTAGCCTCGTCTATGGAGAAGCGAAGATCTTGATTCCCGAGCTTGAGGATGATAAGGGCCGTTTCACAAATGGGTGGTGCAGGAGCTCAGCCGCAGTTGGCCGCTCTTCCGGGTTCACTCGGAGACATTTAATTATAAAATCTCTAGCGTCTAGAGATAATGTATCAGGTATGTCTGGAAGCTCGCCCTTTCCGATCCTAAACAGGGCTTGAAACTGCGTGTTTGCACAAAATCTGACATCAACTCTTATTTTACTGGGAAAACTCATAAATAAATAGACAATAACCTTAAAAATGAAAGATCAAATAAAACACCACCACTTCCAGATCTTGACGACTTACTGGTTCTAGATCGTAGTAGGGGATCTTCCGAGTCAGCATTTCAAGAACTGTGCACCCAAGGCTCCATATATCAGCTGAACTTCCATACCCGTCAGTACGCTTCAGAGCAATAACCTGAACAAATTGTTACGTTCCATTAAGAATCATCCATATCCACATATCTGTACGTATGAGCTAAATAAGTCTGAGAAACCAATGTCATACATAAGTAACGAGTTAATGTAAAGGTTCGAGATCCAACAATTATGTTAGAGAGCAATATGTTTGTCTATTATTGTATTCACATAATCAAAAGAGCGGAAAGGAAAAGTGTGATAATCTCCCAAAACAATACCTCTGGAGCCATCCAGAATGGAGTCCCCTGGCTGGACTTAATGTCGTTTAATTTTGACACCTAAATGACAATGACACAATCCAGAATAAAAAAATGACACAAGTAAAATTAGATTAGAGCAAAAATATAGATATCTATAAATGGAAAAGAACCTTTGCCAATCCAAAGTCTGCAAGCTTAACAGCTCCACTGGCGTCTACCAATATATTTGCACATTTGATGTCCCTTTGGTCGCATCAGATGAGAAAAGTAAGGGAGACAGGAAATGCAGGAAACCAAAAGGCATCGGAAATACATGTGACAACTATGACAAGAAAGGTTTCTACTAGTCTTACCGGTGGATAAAACCTTCTCCGTGGAGATATTTCAAGCCGTCAAGGATCTGCCTAGTGTACGTGGACACTACAGAGTCTGGAAGCTGGTATTTTTGGTAAAGTTTTAGAAGAGAACCTTGGGATACAAGCTCAAGAAAGATGTACAAATTCGACCCATCCTGCAAACACCAAAAGGCATTACTGATCGAGCAAAGAAGATGCTTAGGCAGCTGCAAGTGTGAAGAGGAAAGCCATAAAGGGAGCATACCTTTGCTGTGCCACGATATCTCACTATATTCTGATGCTGAAGCTGACTAAGTAATGCAATCTCCTATATAGGAAATGAACAAATGAGTCAAAAGCAAGGAGGATAAGCAACCAAAATTTGAAAGACCAATGTGACAATTCTCGTATAAGCTATAATATCTCACCCTTTCAAGTTGCTGTATGCATTCCTGTGCCTGACTTCCCTGTTCAAGAAGTGAAACTTCCTTGACAGCAAAGAAGTCCCCACCACTATCAATCAAAAAGTTACATCATCAGCGAAATGCATAGAGAAAAAGCTCACTTACTCTATGTTCTTCCCAAATAAGAATCAGAACCAGATCTGAGATTTACTAAGAACTTAAATAAAGAAAAAATTATTTACTTTCGGAAATTATGTTCATATATAACTTTAAAATTTTAGGGGCCAAAGTCCAATATTTCGAAGGGTTGTGCCCAAATCCGGTCCTCATAAGAATCTGACTTTAAATTCAACAGTAGTACAACTTACCCAGAAATGCCTTCATACACGGAGCCAAATGATCCTCGTCCCAGAAGCTCACCCTTCAGCCAAGACGTGATGATAGTCCCGGAAGAATAAACCGGCGAAGTATTGGATACTGTACTAGAGGAGTCCCCACCATCGTTTGTACTGAATGAGCAAGCCTCATCAGCTGTATCCACAGTCTCGACAAGCCCGGCCTCCATTTCCCTTTCCACTTCCTCTCCCTCGTCGGAAGAAGGAGAGGAATTTGGCCGCCTAACTATATCATCTTCTGGAGCAAAATGCGCCGGAGGAGGCTTAAGCACAGGTGGCCTCACTCCCTTTATACCACCACCACCACCACCACCAACAACAAGAACAGCAGCCGCAACATCATTGGAACTAGGAATAAGATAACCTCTTGACATTACCCGCTGAAGACTAGGCTTCTTCTCTTTTGTATCATCAACTACAACAACCCTATCAGCCAAACTTCCAACCTCAGAATTAGCATCACCACTAGGACCTGCTTCACTCAAATCATGGTCGAAGGAGTTGAACCTGTTGATAACCTCTGAAGACGAACGCATCTTAGAAGCTTCCCAGGCGTCAAAAGAGATACCAAAATCGTCAGGGCCAGAGAGACCAATAGACTTACAAATCCGAGCAAACTCTCCATCGCCTCTTCCGTAGATACGGAAACTGGTTGGATCTACCTCGAGAGAGCGCGTCATCATCAGAGAAGAAGTGGAGACGGAGAGATCGTCAGCTGAGGAAGAAGAAGAAGAAGAAGCGGCGTCATAATTGATGTTCCTCAAGGCGCCCGTACGCTCTAACTTCTTCCGTGAAGGCGTCTTTTCCCCTCTCCTACCCGAAGCTTTCTTCATACGAGCTATGAATCTATCCATAACTACTAGCTAAATCCATACACAAGTTCCTTTTTTTTCTTTTGAGAGCCTCGCCTTTATTGATTTGATTGCTTTCAGATGGAGTTGGGGTAATTTTCTGAGAAAATCGAGAACTGCGGGGGGGAGTGAAGACCGAAGATTGTGCCAAACCCTGGCGGCGAAGAGAGTAAAGAAAAATGAAAAAATAAAGAAAAGAAATGTAAACGAAAACACGGTGTTTCGTGGAATAATTGGTATCTTTTTTCTGTCTTTGCTTCCTCATCTTTTTAGTTTGCGGCTTTTTTTGTTTGTGGGTCCTATAAAGACTCTTTTGTTTCTTTTTAGGCTTTAGCTCTTTGGGCTTAACTTAACTAGCCTTTTCAGGCCTTCTTTCCAAGTTTGATTTGTGTCTAGATTCATTCAGGTTTCTATTTCTCGAGTTTATAAATTTCAGCTTCATTTGGATTTTATAAAAATTTAGGTTAGATTCGGTTGGAATTTAGTTTCAGTTAAACTTGAAATAGTTTCGTTTTCGGATCAATACTAAAAATACTAATTTTTACTTGATTAAACTCAATATATTTTCAATCATTTCAATAAATTTATATATTTAATTTCTTCAAACCATATTATTACACATACTGAAACATAAAAAAAAATTAAAGCTCACAATTAACAATTCTATAAACATAAGAAACACTATTAAAACTTAAAAACAACACCACTGTTTAAACTTCAAAAAATAATTATTTATACCTAAACTTCAAATACAATGGCAAGCATAATAAAGCTATACTACATTAAGTATTTGAGTTAATTATTCATTTAATTACTAATTATTTTAAGTAATTAATAATATCCTAGTGTGTTTTGGGATACATATTAGAAATTAAGATTGATTATAGTACAAGTTTTTATTAAAAGAGAAGCATTGTAATAAATGCGTTCACACTATAATTAACACGTGTCAGCTTCACAATCATTTGACAATTAATGCGTTCACACACTAAATTTTAAATTCATTATTTAATGTGTTTATATACTATTTTTAATTAATTCATTTTTCCAACATTTTTAGCCTTTGTATTAATAAATTAAAACTTTCTACGTGAAACTAATTAATAATATCTTTATTGTAAAAAAATTACAAAATCATTAAGATTCGCATCAACTAAAATGTTGTGATGAAAATGTTTGTAGAAATTTAAAATTTTGTACCTTGTCGAATTTGGTCATGGTTGAGACTTCGGTACACAATAACAACAAATACGGTGACTGATGATAAATTAAAGAAACTAAGGTGAAAAACACCACACGCAAAGTCGGATCTTTAGTTTAGTCAATTGTTAACATTTTTATAAAGTTTTCATATCAGACCAAAGAATTAGAAACAAAACCAAATTGGTAGAAGAAAATTAGATATAAAAAAGCTTTAAAAAGAAATAAAAATCACAAATTCGATTAAAAAACAGAATTCAAGTACCATGTGAAGATGTCACTTTGTAATATATATTATTTTTACTGCTTACGGGTACAATTTGATTTTCTTCATATGAAAAAATGTTATTAATGTCTACGTTTTTTATTTTTACTTAATTTTATTTAAGAATTTACTATCATGTGTTATATTGAACAAAAATGTTTTAAATCTTAATTAACAGTATATTCATATATATATCATCATATTTATATACTTTTACATATACATACATATACACATTGATATGAGCGACTATATAACTAAATATTCACCACAAGTGAGAAATTTAATTCTTATTGAAGTTGATTTTTTTTAGTGTTTTCTTTCACTATCTCTCAAATTGTAGCGAAATGTTTTGTGTTAATAATTTTATTTTATTTTTTCAAATATTATTTAGATTTAATTTGATTTTACATGTCTTTAGAAATTATAATAGGAAACTTTTATTTCGACATCAAAAATGTCTTAAATTTATATAAAACAAAACCAAAGAAATAACAATAGTTTTGGTTATCATCGAAAAAATTAAAAACATCAAACATTTAAACTAAACAAACCAAAATAAATATAGATTTAGAATGATAGTTATATTTTAGGACATTAAAAAAACATAAAACTGAACCAATATTCATGCTAAACAAACATAATATATTTTTATCTTAAAAGTAACAAAAATGATAATCTCATTCTGCGCAAGGTGCGGGTTATTTCATAGTAACTTAATTATAACATGTATAATTTTCTCTGGAAATGTTCATATTTTTGGAAATTTTGTTTTAAATATGGTGATAAAGAATACTCCTGCATAAATTATTAAAGTAAATTTTATTTACAAAGATTTATTGGCCATTATCTTTATAATATGTAGTGGATAATTTTTTATATGTTTCTGAAATTTGGTATATATATATATATTTATATTATCAAAATTATTTGTAAGTGTGCGTTACAAAAATAAAATTAAAATAATTCTAATCAAATAATTTATTGTAGATAGTTAATTGATTGAAATTTTATTTAAAATGATCGGTTCATTAAGTAAATTACTAATTTAATTTTACCGGTTTAACTTATTTTAACTATAATAAATCAAAAATTCATCAAAAATTATTATATTTAAATATATAGCTTTAAAACAAGCATATAATATACATATTTAAATAAATAGTCATTATCATATAAATGAAATTTTATTCTTAGCAAGATTACATAAAATTACATTGATAATTTTATTTTTTCTCTATATCGATGAAATTAAAAATTTAAAAATAACAATGTTAAAATGTAAAACCAAGTATTATTTTAAAGTAAAATTATATTATATTTAAAATTATTATTATGCATGTAGCACAGAAAAATCATAGTTAAATCTTTTTTTAAGCTTTAAGAATAAAAATACGATGTTTTAGATTTTAAAGTTATGTTATTCATCTTTTAAACTACTTATTATACTTTCACATACAATATTATTAATTTTGTTTTGAATTTGTCAGGCAAAATTTGAGTATAACTGTTTGTTTTCAGTACAAACAAATGAGGATGTGTCCATATTATTCATCTAAAGATTACAATGTACAATGATTCTAGTTATTCAACATCTTCTTCTTTTTTTTTTACTTTATAATACTCTCCATCATATTTTCTCTTTTCCACCTAGTTATCCAATACTCATTTAACTTTTAACCTTTACAATATTTTTTTAAGAAAATTAAAATTTTTATCCCATTAATTTTAATTTATACTTTTATCATGAGAAATTCCCTATGCTATCAGTAAGATTCCTTTATCATAAATATAACACAAAATGATCAAAATGACCAATTTTTTTATTAAAAATATAACAATACACTTATAACCCTATGAATAACTAATATAAACTTAACATTCAGATCTGAGCGTTGATGTTTAGGAATTTAAAATATATTTAATTTAAAATAATAATTTTAAAAATAGTTTCATAGAATTTTAGGACTTCAAAATCAAACGGAAAAATGAAAACAAACTGGAATAAATAATCGAGAATAACTTGAAATTGAATACATTTTCTCGATTTTTTTTAAAAAAAATTTATTATTTCTTTAAGAATGATGAGTACAGAAATCAAAAACAAAAACAAAAAAATGGCAAGAGAGTTGGCATGAGTGTCGTAAAGTCTTTTTAAGCTTATAAGATGAATGTTATATCCCCTATTATTTATATTTATATTTATATAAAATTAAGGATAGAAAAGTCTATTACGTCTTCAATAAAAAAAAATAATTATTATTTTTTCTTTATGTGCTATTTTGGTAAAAAATATTATTTCAGAGTGTTTCGGGAGATTTTACCTTTTATCTTTTACAATATAATAACTAGGGGCATAGCCCCCAAAATAATGATTAGTATTTTTTTGGAAACAAATAATGATTAGTATAAAAATGCTCAAATACAAGTCCTCTGTAATTTAATTTGAATAACAAAATAAATTTACAAATATAATTAGTTCCCGAAATTAATACTTATATTGAGTTTCAGAATTGCAGTTTTCTACGGGCTATTCAATCATATACACTAAACATTTATGAAATAAAAACAGTTTAAAAGAACATATAAATAATTCATTTCTATAATATACTAAAAAGAAAATTTCATCAATGTGAAATAAACCTATAATTTTGGATCAGTTTTGGTTTACGTTTTTGGATCCGAATAAAATTCTTAAACGTAAGAGAGAGTTATATAAGAATGTAAATACAAAATCTGAAAAAAAAATATTTCATCATTTATTATACAAATTCTCTGCTTTGATATAATAGAGACTTCATAATATAATAATGTATAACCTCAAAATACTAATTCACATCAAGTTTAGATTATAATCCAAAAAAAAAAATCTACTTAAACAAGGTTATTAAACACTTTCATTAAGAACTAATAATATTGTGGTCTTACCTTAATTTTCGACTAACAATATATTGTCTTATATTTCTCTAACAATGGTTTAGTGATGAGCATTCGGGTCTTGGAATCAGGTCCATGTTGGTTCTTTTTGGGTATGAGTCCTTTGGATCCTAAACATTTAGATCTAAATAGACATATGAAAATTTCCGGTGGAGGTTTGGGTCGGTTCCTTTTGCATCAACGTCGATTCAGATCCATAATTTGAATACTTATAAAATATTTGTAATTTTAAGATACGTAACGGGACCGGGTTTACTTCAGATATTTAGGATCCAAAAAAATTCAAAGTATCTAAAAACCTGAAAAATACTTTAAAACTCAAACAAATACCCAAAACATTCAAATGCCGAAAACCAAAAAAGATTTACCCTAAATCTTACCTAGAAACAAAAATACCAAATTTTTTATTCGAATATCCAAAATATATTTTTAAAATTTAAATTTTAGACGAAAGCCAAAACAATACCGAAATCAAACTCGAAACTTAAGAAAAGTATTTGTAATAACAAAAATATATTTAAAATCAATACTATTATTTTTATTAATCACAATAGTAAGGTACAAAGATAAAGATCTTAGTACGAATCCGCGAAGGACGAGT